TCTATCTATCTATCTATCTATCTATCTATCTATCTATCTATCTATCTGATTATTAAAAAAATGCTTTTTCTTTTCATTTAAAAGAAGCTCACCCAATTTTGGCCAGTTGAAATAACCAGGTCTTGTGTGGGGGACTATGGACTAGCTCCCGTTGTTCAGAATCAGAACACAGATTTGGGTGTTTTGCGATACCCGCAATATTTGCCCATTTTGAATATTTTGTCTTAGGCTTCTTTACTTTGTCTTGTTCTGAAAGGAAACGAAGAAAATCAGCAAAAAAATAACCGTTTGTTTTTTAAACCTTATACAAAAATGAGCGGTAAAAACAAACCTTTGAAGTATGTCATTCGTCCCAAATTGAGGCATCTGGGATTTTGAATAACCAAGTTTGTGAATATCTGTATTCCTATATTCTATATAAAACAAATAATGAGCAGTTTAGATACACAGCGAGAACCATTGCACATAAAGCATTAACACAGCCACAAAAACACTTCGGACATACCTTAAAAGCTGTGTAGGCATCATCTCTGTCTTGATTAAGAATTGCAAACCCAGATGAGCGAGTATCTCTCCTCGGTCTCACTCCTAAGCACTTACCAAAATCGTCCAGCTTATTTGGGAAATAGGATTTCTGTAATTGCAGCTGCTGATATATCTGAAAGAAAAGCAAAGAAACCATCATTCATGAAGGCTTTCCTCAATGGAGTTCAGGCAGCTTGGCAAAACCTACAACTTTTTCTCTGAGTGCCAATATAAAGTTAACACAATTTGTTTGAATACATAAACACCTCAGAAGTTTTTGCGAAGCCAAAGAATCGACACAAAGTTCTCTGACTTGAAGAAAAGCTATGCTGTTCCTCCACAATCTCTGGTAAAACTGCTGTTTTGTTCCCCCGAGAATGAACCTTTCTGAAAATCCCACTACCTTTTGTGCATTCAGAGCTTTTCCTGGGTTCCGTTTGTCGACGATACTCAAACCACACCATGACTCTGGGTGGGCTTTCAGCCAGATTTTCGTGTACTCTCCCGGAACAACTGTTTTATCTTGAAACTTCAGCTGAACCTGGGAAAAAATTAAAAAGACAAAATTGCGATTGAACTGTAAAATCTAGAATATAAGTTCAGGCTAAATAAGAAAAGGAATTCACTGTTAAAATATACAGTGGGTGCCACTTGTCCCCATCCCGCACCGACCTTATTTTTGAAGCATTTCGTAGTTGGGAACTCAGCGCTGTAAGCCAGCATGTTCATGCTTTGCAGGCCGAAAAATGCCACAATCCGAACGTGTGGTGCCAACTTTGGAGTCACTTTCAATGTAAAGCACTTATTCCCCTTATTCACTGGAACAGAAAATGAGTTTTATGCTTTCTGCCAAAAGGCAACACTTTCTTAGTTTACAGGCTACTACTTCTATGTGTTCCCTAAACTTAGAACATTGGAACCAGCCATAACACACCTAGTTGATTTGCTGGAACATGGCGAAATCCTTGATTAATCATTTTCCCTCTGGCTAAGACCTGTGAGAAGAAATCACATAAATTAAATGACTAAATTGTAAAGTTGCAGGGCATTGTCATGGAGCAACAAGCCTCTTGCATAAGCAGTCCGTCTATTGCATTTCCTATTTAAGGCAGGTTGGTGAATTTGTACTTTTCCATACGCTCCATTTGGGATGTTGAAGTTCAATTAGGATGAACATGTTTTTTTTCTAGACTGTTGAGATGTCAGTTCTTTCAAACATTGAAGAAACATGTGCTTCTTGCAGAATTCTTAAAGTGAGATCATTTCTGGGAACACCTAAGAGCGACTTTTCTACAGTTTATTCTCTTTGGGAGTTATATTAGAGGAAAGCTGAAAGATACTTACAATCCAGAACAAAGGCAGGTATGCGGTGCGTCCTCTGATACTGTACTGGATGCAGATTCTCTCCATTTTGCCACAGCGGAGTTTTTTAGGAGCACTGACTCTCAAAAAATTAGCTGCTTTTGGACCAGGAGCGAGTACATCCATTTCTGCAGTGTCCCCCTTGTAGAAGGGAGTTTTGAATCCGGGGTCACGCAGCCTTTTTGAATCACTCAGCTAATTTTCATAAACCCCCAAAAAAGAAGAAATACACTTTATGAATGAGCTTATGGTGATGGATGTAAAAAAAATTGAACGGAAAGACAGATTCAACCTAAACTTAATCAACAGCTTTAGAAAAAGGGTGGTGAAGTGGGTTTTAAAGCCACTTTAACTTACTTTCAGAGCAACTCTCCCCGAGACTCCTCTCAGTTGTAATTGAAATTTGCCAAACCCTTTTTTGTTAGTCACAGTGCGACCCAAAAACCTCTGTTCGTCCTTCACGACCAAAAAGAGAAACACTGGGAAGTCAGCGAGCGCTCCGCCATAGCCGGTAACAGCTCTGACCTGTTGAGCACATGAAACTGTGTTAGTGAGTGCACGTGATTTGGACTGTCCTGTGCAAAGAGAGAACAATTCGGATTTCTGCTATTTACCTTTACTGTAAATGTCCGTCCCGTGGAATAAATCTCTGGTACTTGGATGAATTTCAGCCGTCCAATAACATATGAAAGCTTGATTTTCTTCAACTTTGTGTATGAAATACCTGAATAGATAAAAAGTTTTCTCAAGTGATTGAATTCACGTGCTGCAT